CTAGTGGACTGGTGTAGCTGAGCTTTGTAGTAGGCACTGGTCTAGTGGACTGGTGTAGCTGAGCTTTGTAGCAGGCACTGGTCTAGTGGACTGGTGTAGCTGAGCCTTGTAGCAGGTACTGGTCTTCTGGACTGTTGTAGCCGAGCTTTGTAGCAGGCACTTGTCTAGTGGACTGGTGTAGCTAAGCTTTGTAGCAGGCACTGGTCTAGTGGACTGGTGTAGCTGAGCCTTGTAGCAGGCACTGATCTAGTGGACTGGTGTAGCTGAGCTTTGTAGCAGGCACTGGTCTAGTGGACTGGTGTAGCTGAGCTTTGTAGCAGGCACTGGTCTAGTGGACTGGTGTAGCTGAGCTTTGTAGCAGGCACTGGTCTAGTGGACTGGTGTAGCTGAGCCTTGTAGCAGGTACTGGTCTAATGGACTGTTGTAGCCGAGCTTTGTAGCAGGCACTGGTCTAGTGGACTGGTGTAGCTGAGCTTTGTAGCAGGCACTGGTCTAGTGGACTGGTGTAGCTGAGCTTTGTAGCAGGCACTGGTCTAGTGGACTGGTGTAGCTGAGCTTTGTAGTAGGCACTGGTCTAGTGGACTGGTGTAGCTGAGCTTTGTAGCAGGCACTGGTCTAGTGGACTGGTGTAGCTGAGCCTTGTAGCAGGTACTGGTCTTCTGGACTGTTGTAGCCGAGCTTTGTAGCAGGCACTGGTCTAGTGGACTGGTGTAGCTAAGCTTTGTAGCAGGCACTGGTCTAGTGGACTGGTGTAGCTGAGCTTTGTAGCAGGCACTGGTCTAGTGGACTGGTGTAGCTGAGCCTTGTAGCAGGTACTGGTCTAATGGACTGGTGTAGCCGAGCTTTGTAGCAGGCACTGGTCTAGTGGACTGGTGAAGCTGAGCTTTGTAGCAGGCACTGGTCTAGTGGACTGGTGTAGCTGAGCTTTGTAGCAGGCACTCGTCTAGTGGACTGGTGCTGCTGAACCTTGTAGCAGGCACTGGTCTAGTGGACTGGTGTAGCTGAGCTTTGTAGCAGGCACTGGTCTAGTGGACTGGTGTAGCCGAACTTTGTAGCAGGCACTGGTCTAGTGGACTGGTGTAGTTTAGCTTTGTAGCAGGCACTGGTCTAGTGGACTGGTGTAGCTAAGCTTTGTAGCAGGCACTGGTCTAGTGGACTGGTGTAGTTTAGCTTTGTAGCAGGCACTGGTAGTAGTGGACTGGTTCATCTTAGAGAGAGAGTTGAACCAGTGTGGGGTTGTGTGTTGTGTGGGGTTGTGTTGTGTTGGCTTGTGTGCTGTGTGGGGTTGTGTGCTGTGTGGGGTTGTGTTGTGTGCAATCGTGTGTTATGTTGAGTGGGGTTGTGTGTTGTGTGGAGTTGTGTAGAATTGTGTGTTATGTGGGGTTGTGTGTTGTGTAGGATTGTGTGTTATGTAGGAGTGTGTGTTGTGTGGGATTGTGTGTGTTCGTGTGTTGTGTAGGATTGTGTGTTATGTGGGGTTGTGTGCTGTGTTGGGTTGTGTGCTGTGTGGGGTTGTGTGCTGTGTAGGGTTGTGTGTTGTGTAAGGTTCTGTGCTGTGTGGGGTTGTGTGCTGTGTGGGGTTGTGTCCTGTGTGGGGTTGTGTGCTCTCTAGGGTTGTGTGTTGTGTGGGATTGTGTGCGGTGTGGAGTTGTGTGTTTTGTAGGGTTGTGTGTTGTGTGGGGTTGTGTGCTGTGTGGGGTTGTGTGCTGTTTGGGGTTGTGTCCTGAGTGGGGTTGTGTACTGTGTAGGGTTGAGTGTTGTGTGGGGTTGTGTGCTGTGTGGGTTTGTGTGTTGAGTAGGGTTGTGTGCTGTGTGGGGTTGTGTCGGGTTCTGTGTTGTGTGGGGATGTGTCCTGTGTAGGGTTGTGTAGTGTGGGGTTGTGTGTTATGTAGGAGTGTGTGTTGTGTGGGATTGTGTGTGTTCGTGTGTTGTGTAGGATTGTGTGTTATGTGGGGTTGTGTGCTGTGTAGGGTTGTGTGCTGTGTAGGGTTGTGTGCTGTGTGGGGTTGTGTGGGGTTCTGTGTTGTGTGGGGTTGTGTGCTGTGTGGGGTTCTGTGCTGTGTGGGGTTGTGTCCTGTGTAGGGTTGTGTGCTGTGTGGGGTTGTGTGCTGTGTGGGGTTGTGTGTTGTGTGGGGTTGTGTGCTGTGTGGGGTTGTGTGGGGTTCTGTGTTGTGTGGGGTTGTGTGCTGTGTGGGGTTGTGTGCTGTGTGGGGTTGTTTTTCTTTGTGTGTTCGTGTGTTGTGTAGGGTTGTGTGCTGTGTAGGGTTGTGTGCTGTGTGGGGTTGTGTGCTGTGTGGGGTTGTGTGCTGTGTTGGGTTGTGTGCTGTGTGGGGTTGTGTGCTGTGTGGTGTTGTGTGTTGTGTAGGGTTCTGTGCTGTGTGGGGTTGTGTGCTGTGTGGGTTTGTGTCCTCTGTGGGGTTGTGTGCTCTCTAGGGTTGTGTGTTGTGTGGGATTGTGTGCGGTGTGGAGTTGTGTGTTGTGTAGGGTTGTGTGTTGTGTGGGGTTGTGTACTGTGTGGGGTTGTGTGCTGTTTGGGGTTGTGTCCTGAGTGGGGTTGTGTACTGTGTAGGGTTGAGTGTTGTGTGGGGTTGTGTGCTGTGTGGGTTTGTGTGTTGAGTAGGGTTGTGTGTTGTGTGGGGTTGTGTGCTGTGTGGGGTTTTGTGCTGTGTGGGGTTGTGTCCTGTGTAGGGTTGTGTGCTGTGTGGGGTTGTGTGCTGTGTGGGGTTGTGTGCTGCGTGGGGTTGTGTTCTGTGTGTGTTCGTGTGGTGTAGGGTTGTGTGCTGTGTATGGTTGTGTGCTGTGTGGGGTGTTCTGTGTTGTGTACGGTTGTGTCCTGTGTGGGGTTTTGTGTTGTGTAGGGTTGTGTGCTGTGTGGGGTTGTGTGCTGTGTGGGGTTGTGTGCTGTGTGGGGTTGTGTGCTGTGTGTGTTGTGTGCTGTGTAGGGTTGTGTGCTGTGTGGGGTTGTGTGCTGTGTGGGGTTTTGTGTTGTGTAGGGTTGTGTCCTGTGTGGGGTTGTGTGCTGTGTGGGGTTGTGTGCTGTGTGGGGTTGTGTGCTATGTGGGGTTGTGTTCTGTGTGTGTTCGTGTGGTGTAGGGTTGTGTGCTGTGTAGGGTTGTGTGCTGTGTGGGGTTGTGTGCTGTGTGGGGTTGTGTGCTGTGTGGGGTTATGTGTTGTGTACGGTTGTGTCCTGTGTGGGGTTTTGTGTTGTGTAGGGTTGTGTCCTGTGTGGGGTTGTGTGCTGTGTCGGGTTGTGTGCTGTGTCGGGTTGTGTTCTGTGTGTGTTCGTGTGCTGTGTAGTGTTGTGTGTTATGTAGGAGTGTGTCCTGTGTGGGTTTGTAGGCTGTGTAGGGTTGTGTGCTGTGTGGGGTTGTGTTCTGTGTGTGTTCGTGTGCTGTGTAGGGTTTTGTGTTATGTAGGAGTGTGTGCTGTGTGCGGTTTTGTGCTGTGTGTGTTCGTGTGCTGTGTGGGGTTGTGTGCTGTGTGTGTTGTGTTCTGTGTAGGGTTGTGTGCTGTGTGGGGTTGTTTGCTGTGTGGGGTTTTGTGTTGTGTAGGGTTGTGTCCTGTGTGGGGTTGTGTGCTGTGTGGGGTTGTGTGCTGTGTGGGGTTGTGTGCTGTGTGTGTTCGTGTGCTGTGTGGGGTTGTGTGCTGTGTGTGTTCGTGTGCTGTGTAGGGTTGTGTGCTGTGTAGGGTTGTATGTTATGTAGGAGTGTGTGCTTTGTGGGGTTGTTTGCTGTGTGGGGTTGTGTGCTGTGTAGGGGTGTGTGTTATGTAGGAGTGTGTGCTGTGTTGGGTTGTGTGCTGTGTGGGGTTGTGTCCTGTGTAGGGTTGTGTGCTGTGTAGGGTTGTATGTTATGTAGGAGTGTGTGCTGTGTGGGGTTGTGTGCTGTGTAGGGTTGTATGTTATGTAGGAGTGTGTGCTGTGTGGGGTTGTGTGCTGTGTAGGGTTGTATGTTATGTAGGAGTGTGTGCTGTGTGGGGTTGTGTGCTGTGTGTGTTCGTGTGCTGTGTGTGTTCGTGTGCTGTGTGGGGCTGTGTGTGTTCGTGTGCTGTGTAGGGTTGTGTGCTGTGTGGGGTTTTGTGCTGTGTAGGGCTGTGTGTTGTGTGGGGTTGTGTGCTGTGTGGGGTTGTGTGTGTTCGTGTGTTGTGTAGGGTTGTGTGCAGCCAGGCCAGTACTAACTAACAGGAGCTCCTCCACTGATCTGGGATCCTCCACTGAAAGGTGAGAAGGAGGAGCTGAAAAGTTTCTTCAAATATGTGAAGTAAACTCACAGACACTGATGATGAATCCGGCTGAAGTGAAGTTCCTGGGTTGGATATCATGGCCAATATTCCTTCCAGATGTTTCTGCCAGAGCACAGAGTACAGAGTACACGTGCAGGTAAATATTAGTAAATGGACGGCCCAGTCAATGCCAGAAAATAAGTCTTATTTCATAATAACTGTTTCTCTTAAATGATCATTATCAACTTTCCGTGGAACCACTTTATACCTGGAAATTATTTACTCAATGAAATTCTTCCAGGTTTTATAAACCAAGCACAAAAGGAAGTTTTACAATCAGACGATCAAACATATTCTACACATTTGTAAAGTACATGGGCACCTGACAGTTACTTATGGACTTTACTTTCAAGCATTCTCATTTTACAATTCTCTGAACGGTAAAGGCATCTCTGAACTCTTGATACCACTAGCTGACGCTGGGGTAGTAGGAGTTACCTCCCCTTGGACACACTGTTTCCCATGACATGGATGCAACATCTTCTGTTGAATGTTCGATAGTTTGTTGTTTTGGTTTGTTGGTAGTGTGTTACATACTGACATGTCACAACAGAACACATAGTAAACACTGTTAGCTGATATCTGGTGGGAGATCAGACAGTTACTGGTAACTAAACATATGTGTCCTCTTCTTACGGAAACATCTTATGTGTATGACTTTGTGGTATTATACTTACCCTACATTCCAACATATCGAAGAACCAGAAGGTTAGCTGAAACAGACAGAGTCAGATGACAGCGATGACGGTACATCGGCTTCGACAATACTACATTGTTACTACTCGACATTAGCTATAGTACTAAACAACAGGGTGGAAGGTGCCTTGGCAGTGGCACTACATGACATGGTGGAAGGATACATTGGCAGTGCACTACATGACAGGGTGGACGGATACATTGGCAGTGGGACTACATGACATGGTGGAAGGATACATTGGCAGTGGCACTACATGACATGGTGGAAGGATACATTGGCAGTGGGACTACATGACAGGGTGGAAGGATATATTGGCAGTGATACAACATGACAGGGTGGCACTACATGACATGGTGGAAGGATACATTGGTAGTACACTACATGACAGGGTGGAAGGATACATTGGCAGTGCACTACATGACAGGGTGGAAGGATACTATAGCAGTGGCGGTACATGACTGGACGGAAGGATTCTATACCACAATTCCTGGCTTGCAAAAGCAAATACATGTATTAGAGAGTTATTGTGACGGGTCAAAACTTACTGTAAATATGGATCAAACCAAATGTAGTAGTTTAATAATGGTGCTAACAGAAAAGAAAAATGACGTTACAGAGGGAAGCCTGTAGAAGTTGTTCCCTTTTATAAATACTTAGGCTTGTGTTTGACATGTAGATTAATTTGGTCAAGGAACGCACACAACATTTCATTGCAAGCCAAGAAATTTTTGTAGGCATATTAAAAAGTCTTAGAGTTCTAGACAATGTTACATATGATGTTTACTTTAAAATATTTGATACAAAAATAATCCCGATTCTATTGTATGGATCAGAAATTTGGGGCCTAGAACATTTGGATGTTATTGAGAAAATACATTTATATGCATGTGAAAGGTTCTTGGGTGTAAAATCTAGCACAGAAAACGCAAGGGTATATGTTGAATGCGGAAGGTTTCCCATGTACATCAATAGTTATTTAAAGGTTATTAAATACTGGGTCAAGCTATTAAATATGCCATCTTCAATGTTATAATATGATGCTTCTCTACCACAACCATGGGAAACAAAATTGGGCATCAAAAGTTAAAAAACATGTTATACGAATGTGGATATGGTTATATTTGGTTACAGCTACATGTAGATATGCCACAGCATTTCTTCTCCCATTTGACACAAATATAAAACATTAAAATATATGTACATTAAAAAATGGCATGGTTCTTTGTCCAGTTCTAGAAAAGCAAATTACTACACTACATTTAAGAATACTATTATACTAGAACCTTCTCTATTAAGTGTAAATTTACATCAGTTAAGAACAGCTCTTTCTCGATTTCGTTGTGGCTCACATGATCTATTTATTGAAAAAGGCAGATATGAATGTATTGCAAGAGAACATAGATTTGTAAAACTGATTGTATTGAAGATGAATATCACTTTTTATGTGTATGTCCAGTGTATAAAGATTTAAAAGCAAAATATCTAAATAACTATTTCTACCGCAACGCAAACGGTACCAAAATTTGTAAATTAATGACTTTGTACAGAAACTATGAGAAATGTATCAATGTTCATTTATCATGCTATGAAACTAAGAAAATGTATGAATTTGTAACACGCCCCAGACAATGTACTATAGGCCTTTGGCCTCATCAGTACCATGAATAAAGATTGATTGATTGACAGGGTGGAAGGATACTATAGAACTGGGACTACATGACAGGGTGGAAGGATACTATAGGAGTGGCACTACATGACAGGGTGGAAGGATACTATAGGACTGGCACTACATGACAGGGTGGAAGGATACTATAGGTCTGGCACTACATGACAGGGTGGAAGGATACTATAGGACTGGCACTACATGACAGGGTGGAAGGATTTATTAATAATTCATTGCTTTTTTGTGGTGCAGTACTGATTTCACAGTTTAGTTTTGCATGAACCGATTTCTAAGTTAACCTCTGCTTTCAGTTTGCAAATCACCTCTTAATGCGAGTATACGAGAGTCGGCATCACACAGAGTGTCACAGTACACATTGTAACCAGGAAGTCATTTCTGTCGGCTCTCAGGACGATACTCACAATACAAATCATAAACACTTACCTGTAGTCTGAGGGTGGAACAGGGGGTCAACACAGCCTTGAATCCAACAAGGCATTTGTTCTTAACGAGGTCACTGTTTTGTGCAACCACGGCTCGTTTTAGACGCTTGATCCTCTGAAATTAACTCAGGAAATGTATAAAGATTTATATGCACTGCATCAGCTGAGATACCCGGTCATTTAGTATATGTGAGACTGAGAATATCTTTGGTAGAATATCTTTCAGATAGGACGGAGCCATACTATGATTAATGTTGTAAAAAACATTTTTGTAATACAATGAATGCCAGGGGCCATATTTAGGTAGACCTTATTGTAATTGGCCTTTGTCCTTCGGTACCATACCTCACAGGCGTGTGAATACCTTTCCCCCTCGACTTTCAAAATTCTATTTTTCTTATTTTTAAAAAATTCTTTGCAAAAGCATCACCCCACCTCACCTGCGTACTTCTCATATCCTATATCATATATACGAAATACGATATCTTACATACAAAACAGAGATACATGTGAAGTCAAATAAATTATGATTTACATAGAATTGGTATAAAAGATCACCAGAACTGTAATCTAATGTAATGTACACTGTTTACTCATCAGCGTGTAAGTATGTTAAGCATCCTTAAATAATATTGTTCCAAACATACCTGTTCATATTAATCTACTGTCAAACGGCAATGCAGATCACGTTCTTACAGAAAAAGAAGCTTCATTTTATGGCAGTTCATAATCATACACAAGTATACTATGCCAAAAAAGTAGGGGACAGTGGGAATCATCAAGACATATCTTCTGATCCATATGGCATTGGCAAATGAAATGATATGATCATATCTGCTGGGGAGTAGGCGATCTGATCTAATGGTGCTCATGGTTGGTGTGATGAGAAGATGAGAAGACTAGGTCGTTAAAGAGGTCGTGGTTCAAATTCGAAATTTGTAATTTTCAGCCAATGTCACTAATATCGCTAAAAAAACCATCTCTGTGGCCCATACATCATATCTTGTTTGTTTGTTTGTTTGTTGTTTAACGCCGCACTCAGCAATATTCCAGCAATATGACAGCGGTCTGTAAATAATCGAGTCTGGACCAGACAATCAAGTGATTAATATCATGAGCATCGATCCACGCAATTGGGATCGATGACATGCATCAACCAAGTCAGCGAGCCTGACCACCCGATCCCGTTAGTCGCCCTTTAAGACAAGCATAGTCACCTTTTACGGCAAGCATGGGTGCTGAAGACCTATTCTACCCCGGAATCTTCACGGGTCAGGCATCATATATACTACGCAAAGACAAGTAGAGGATCAGCAAAGACATCTTCTGATCTCTCGAGTATTGGCAAATGGAAATGGTATGATCATATCTCCTGTGTAATAGGCGGTCATATCTAGCGGGCTCTAATGGTTGGTGTGATGAAAGGGTGGCTCAAAAGGTAATTAAAGAGCCCGGGGGTCAAATTCGAAGTTTGCATTTTGCCAACGTCACCAGTATCGGGCAAAAGCACCTGTGCATGAATTCTTCGAGGCATGCTTCGGATGAGTCAACCAATGCCAGCTGTACTCACGTTGTCCCACTCATCAGTGAGGGCAACACCGAGTTCACTGACAGTGGTAGGTGGATTTTGACGTTGACGTAAACGTCTGCCACTGACGCCCCAGTGGGTCACAGTCCTGACACGATGAGCACGGTCATTACCATCTTGGAAGGTGAAACGTTGGCCAACAAGTTGTGCAAATAGCATCACGAGTGGTGCAATGCATATGATGTTGTCCCGATAATATTTACCTATGACTCCAGAACACGACCTTCTTGTATAATGTTAACGTCCATAACACGCTCAGAAGGACGTCTCCAAACTCGATTCCCTCGGTCACGGAAGTCGAGAGTGAACCTTGATTTTTCAGAAAACATGATATTAGCCCAACGTGAGATTATCCCAGCGCTGACGTTCCCTTCACCACTGACTAATCTGCCAGTGTTGGACCTATTGCTGGCCCAGAGCCCCGATCATCGACGATATGTGTTTGTTGGTATCTGGCCCACACTCTGCTCAGGACCGATGGAGAAACATGCAGCGTTTGGGCAACAACATTCTGACGTCCAACCTACTGCAACATGCCTATGGCACGTCAACGTACAGCAAGTCGCATGATCAATGCTGTTGCTTCCTTAATGATTACCGTATTCGACGTAATAAGCGCCCCGCTCTAATAAGCGCCCACAGCGATATTTGCTAATATATTGGCTAGTGAACAATCCCAATTAGCAATCCTTCCGATTGATCAATGTACACAAGACTTATTTATTCGCGTATAATACGCACTCGTGTGTTATATGCATTCTTAATTATGGGCAATTAAATTCTGGAAAAATGTATCTGTCGTGAAAAGAACTGTTGTTAAACTCAACAACTGCTACACTCACAACGGCATAAGATTAAACTTTCTAAAAATTATAATTATTTATAACTATACATAAGTATTTATACTTTGTTATTGTCGATTTCATGTATTAAGGTATGCTGATAATTGATTTTTTACATTGCAAAGCCATTAAACTTACCCAAATTCTTTGCCCAAAGAATACCATGACCATGATGAAAGGTAGTGGAAAAGTGCAACCGGCAAATATGTTAAAGTCATACACAAATCCGGATAAGGAAACGATAATAACGTCCATAATTAGCGTTATGATGAGCCCAAGAAAGGTGAAGATACAACATGGTGTTGTGTTGCAGCAATACAGACTCAGCTTGGCTGCAGTCTTCATCTTGGCAGTGACCTGGTCGAAGTCTTGAGCAGTCACCTGGAACAATACAAAGATGTGAGATTTTCTTGAAAAGGTTTCAATGAAATTGAAATCAATGTCATGTTTTCGAGATATTTTAGACGGATGTTAAAGTCAAATACAGCATCAAACATCTGCTAGAGTCTAGTTTATAAGCGTAGACATTTGTTCACCTCAGATTGAGTAACACGAAAGTCGGCTTCATACGAACCTTGAAACTGGAAATCTGTCGCCTCAGCTGAATTTGTAACAAAATTATTGATACTCTCGTTTCGGAATATGTCACTTCCGGTTTCGGAAAAGAAATCGGTTTTGTCTTATACATGTTTTCTGTACTGAAACAACAGAGCATAAAGTACCATTTCTTACAGAGCAAAGAGTACTTCAGATTCGGATAATGTCGCTTCCGGTCTTAGATACCAGATTCTCATTGTAGTCAACATATGTCCCTTGACATCAGCCCTGTCAACACGGGAGCTATCAGGTCTAACAGATTCTGTAACAATCTGGGAATCGACACGTAACACAGAGCTGAGAGAACTTAGGGTTCTGAGAATGCTGCCTCATTGGTAGATGATCATAGGACGCAAGAGTAATGTAGCCAGGAGCTGTTTGGAAGTACTTAAATAGCAGCAGCCCTGTCACAAATATTTCCTCAAATATTCTTTCAATCTTGAAATACCACCACCTACCTCCAATCAATAAACATTACTTCTAGACACTGACCTTAATCAACATAACTTCTTAAGTATCAAGACTGAGAATTGAAAAAGTAGAAATGCAACAATAACTAATAATGAATGAATAAACCTCAAAGATGACTTTGACCATTGCCGGACATGGCGCCAAATAGGAATTATAAAGAAAGCTGAAAATATAGTTTTATGCATGTGGAAGTAACGAGAAAGTGACAATGATATAACCATGTTATCGTTTGGAAAGGACATGCTCACCCTTTTCTCGAACACCTGGTGTCATCACTGATTTTCAGTGATCCATTCATACTGTTTTCACCGTTATTTTGCCTTTTAGGACAAATAGAATTTGTTTCGGCGGATAATCGAGATTTGTTATTCTCTTTCATTGATGTTTTATATTTACTTGAACTGGGGCAATGTTACTGCTGGTGGACTGAAGTCCCCGTGCTTCATCATATGCTCTGTACCATTTCATTAATCTGTGACGTGCCGCATCAACTACAAAAGTAATGTATGGGCCGAGACATTTAATCTGACTCACCGGGGTGTTTGACGATTTATATTTATCAGTAATTTTTTACCATGAGGTATTCAAACCAAAAAAGATTATCATCGCATAAATATATCAACTACACATTTTTTATTCATATAAATCTTCTTTTGGTACCTGAACACCGGGTGCAAGAAGAGCTTCAGGGATATATGATACTCTCAACTCCTCTCCCATCGGACACCGCCAGTCGGAGGAAAGTGTTGCCACGACATCCATGTTTCCTGTTTGACAATCAGAGTCACTCAACGTTCTTATGAATTCAATCATCTGTGATGTTCCATGGTAATACTTCCCATTTCACTATGCTTCCTACTACTGTAACAGGGGCGGTCAGGTAGCCTAGAGGTTAAAGCGTTCGTTTGTCACGCCGAAGACCCGGGTTCGATTCCCGACATGGGTACAATGTGTGAAGCCCATTTCTGGTGTCCCCCGCTGTGGTATTGCTGGAATATTGCTAAAAGCGGCGCAAAACCATACCCACTCACTCACTCACTACTGTAACATGGGTGTACTTCCATGTCTATGCACTGTAACAAGGTTGCATTTGACTTTATTCCTACTACGGTAACAAGGCTGTATCTGACTTTATACTCGCTGTAACATGACTGTATTTCACTGTACTTCCTATCACTGTAACGTGGCTGTGTTAGACTTGGTACTCACTGTAGCGAGGCTGGATAGCTATCTCCCTGGTCCCAGAGAAACTGACCACCTCCTCTGCAACCATATGCAAGTTCTGTAACTGATATACAATGGGTAAATGTGTTCACATATCAGAAAACAGGATTGTTAGAACATTAGAGTAATGTTTAGCTAGGAATGTGTCACATGCACTGATTACAACACAATACAACCAAGGCACCAGGGGTACGGAAGCTCACCTTCTTTACGTCATCTGAAGCTGGTGGTTTGAGATGCACCACACTACTCAGTCTGTCTCAACGATTCCATTCCAAGCTGGATACAATTACCGTATTTGACGTAATAAGCGCCCCGCTCTAATAAGCGCCCACGCGTAATATAATGGCCAGTGAACAATCCCAATTAGCACTCTTTCCGATTGATCAATGTACACAAAACTTATTTATTCGCGTATAATACGCACTAGTGTGTTATGTACATACTTAATTATGGGCAATTAAATTCTGGAAAAATATGTCTGTCGTACGTAAACATGTCAGGCTGTCAGCATAAACCACAATATTTATCTTTCCACTCTGTTTTTTTCACTAAATAAATATTCCAATAAGAGCCCCCTATTTCTAATTTTTAGAAGGCCCTGGGGGCTTATTATGTCGAATACGGTATGTTTTATTGATAGTTTCCTGTTCCCTGAATTTAGTCATATTTTATTGATAACAGTGAGTAACAATCCACTATAGATAAGACTTTACTACACCTAATGGTTATGATTAATGTGAAGAACAATCGAGAGCAGGCACACAACATTTCATCATTTGTTACAATATGGTTATCGACCTTGAAACGTGGTACAAACTAGACTAGATTACAAGTAATTTCTCATAACATGTTTGGGTTTCGGAAATTTGCTTTCAACACAATCAAGTTCAACTGTATATTTGTAGGATTCCCAATTTCAGTGACCAAAGATTATTTCCAATGCAATTGCCCAGTTAAGCCATATGTACCGTGTTTTTAGGTGAACACTTGACCTCCCTTTGCATGTGTTTGTGATGGTGCCATCGGTTGGGCAGGATACACTCACTTTTCACAGATACCTGGGATCATCACTATTTGACAGTGATTCTTAAATAGTAATTCATGATTCTGCTCTCACCAGAGAATGCTAATGATTTTGGAATGTTATTGCAGTCGGAGATAGGTCTAGTTGGAACACATTTATCGAAAATTATTAAACATGTTCCGGAGATGAGGATAAAAAAGTTCATGAACGGGCGGAAAGACGGATGGACATCTGACGAAGATCTGTGATATGCTCAGGGGCATGGGTGGCCCGCAATTCGCTGTGCAGAGTTGCGTCCCTGGACACGCCAGAAACCTATGATTGTGGGTTCGAATCCCGGTTCGACCCGATTATGTTTCTAGGTTTGTCAGCACCATACCCTTGCTCGTGGGTTTCACCGAAGTGGTAAACGTTTGAGACCTGCATCACTTCGGGCTTTCCTCCCACATTAAGCTGACACGCCGCGATATAACTGGAATACTGCTAAAAAAGGCGTTAAACCGAACTCACTCACTCACTCACTCACTCACTCACTCACTGTGACATGCTCACTTGACGATAACAAGGAGAGCTTAAAATCATGCTCTCTTAATGTTTCCTAACGGAAAAAATAGTAACATAAAAATAAATTTATGATGAATTGAATAAAACATCTTTCAATACATATACATGAATACATCTCCTCGACTTTAAGTCCGTGATTCAAAATGTGCACGTGGATGATAATGCAGGGCGCATAATTTTGGTGTTTGTGAGTTTGTTGGGAGCATGATACTCATACACGTGGTGTTTGAATGAAAACAGCACACAATGATTGTTTAGCGAACATGTGCTCATGAAAACACTTTTGTTTAACCGAAAATAACGCTTTCGCAGTGCCACGGCTTGATGAACATCAACGTCTACCCGCCGCGTGTCTGCTGCCATCAGGAATGGCGCAAAACGAAGTTGCCAGACATTTTAATGTTCCTCAAAACACAATATTTTCTCTCTGGAGATTTTTAATAACATAACATTTACACCACTTTATTATGAAGCACAGTTACTTGTAATCTCAGAATCAGTTATAACTATCATTAATCACATTGCTGAATCATATATCTAAAGCAGCCCTACCTCTTGACAATATGGCATCTATGAAGCGCTGCCACCACTCGTTACCAGATGAAGCGTCTATGTACGTGAGAGTCTTGATACTGTCTGGGATGGGGCAGTCCTTCACCAGCACTGGGATCACCAGGAGTTGACGCTCTTCCAGGCTCAGGACCATCCCCTGCTCAACCTCAAACATACACCAGCGGCTCTGAGTGAAGTCAGGCGTCAGAACCATCACAGTTTTCTCAGAAATACGGATGTGCTCAGTGATGTTCTCAATGACGCCCTTGCCACCATGGAAGTCTCGCTCGTGGACGCTGCACCTGAATCCGAATTCCGGGGCCTCCAATTTCTGCCTGACCATGTCGACCCAGTCTCGATCAGCTAATTCATAGGAGAAGAAAACGTGATACTTCTTCCCTTCCGACAAAGGTGGAGCGATGCCAGTCAACACTGGATCTGGTGGGACTGGGGGTCGCCAGGAACTACTTTCATCCTGGACAGATGGCGGACATGGGTTGTCTTGGTTTGTGTTGATACTCCCTGGACGCTGGTTCTCAGACACTCCATGTCGTGTTTGGATGCCAGTGACTTCATCAACAATGACAACATCAGTATGATGAACGCTGGGGTCAAAATGGTGACCTTCCTCATCAGCATTTACAAGTTTCCTCTCCGTGGTTTCCAGTTCAGATGCTGATTCTATACTCGATCTCCACACGTGTTCCTTGAGTGTGTCCAGGCGAGCATTGGGTGGTAGAGACGTCTGTTCTCGGAAGTCCACTCCGATGTCCACGTTGTCGTCGTGTGAGACGCGCAGGTCCAACCCCCATCCAGCTGCCTCATCCAGGGAGGGGCCTCGGAGGGGTTGCGGCAACTCTGCACCCCCTTCATTCCCACCTTCCATCTCATCATCCGAGAAACTTGCCAGCTGTTCTGTGTCCATTTCTCAGCGGGTTCAGCTCTAAGGCTGAAGAGGTAATTAAAGTTTTCACATATTATAATGACACTACAATTTATTTTTTACCTACTTGGTGATTCCTCTAAATGTTCCTACAATGTGTTAGGATAACGATATAACATTTCTATCACATTTGTATTATTTATATGAATTTGTGAAATAAGGCATCCAAGGAGAATTGTATGGACACATCTGAAACAGGTAAATAAATTTCCACAAGGTTTCAAAATCTTTTATATAACATAGTTGTAATACACAACAATCAAATTTATTTTACAGAACATATTTTTCAACTCTGAGCCTTATAATTGTTCTAATGTCATACAATGATTCCAGTTATGACACACGAAAAACACTAATCATGATATGGAGATGAACAGGACACAATTTCAGACATTTTTTTTACAGCGCCTAAAATGACTTTTGAGGGCATTACATTACATTGTTGGAATAAACAGCTGAGCAGTGGCCATGATTAGGTATTTCAATATGGCTGTTGTGGTAGCCATGTCAAAAATCAGATTTGAACTTCTGTAAGTGTCATCATTGGTTGAAAGAAGCATGTCACGTTTCAAGTCCAGTGGCTGATGATGTTTACAGACCCTGGAGTGCATTTTGAGAGTATTAAGAGCATGTTTCAACAAGTCAAATTGAGGTCAAAATATGGAATATCCCGAACATATGTGTCAATCACCACTACTAACTATACACATCCCAAGTTCATTACATTTTGAAAAATATTGACAGAGGAAATTGTTGCGGCCATATTGAAAATGGTTGGTTGGGTTGGTTTGTTGTTTAACGCCACACTCAGCAATATTCCAGCAATATGACGGCGGTCTGTTAATAATCGAGTCTGGACCACACAATCCAGTGATTAATATCATGAGCATCGATCCACACAATTGGGATCGATGACATGCATCAACCAAGTCAGCGAACCTGATAGACAGGGAGCCAATACCCAGTAGAGAGGGAGCTAATACCCAGTAGAGACGGAGACAATACCAAGTAGAGAGGGAGCTAATACTCAATAGAGCAGGAGTCAATACCCAGTAGAGAGGGAGCTAATACCCAGTAGAGGGGGGAGCCAATATCAAGTAGACAGGGAGCCAATACCCAGTAGAGAGGGAGCTAATACCCAGTAGAGAGGGAGCCAATACCGAGTAGAGAGGGAGCTAATATCCAGTAGACAGGGAACAATACCCAGTAGAGAGGGAGCTAATACCCAAAAGAGAAGGAGTCAATACCTAGTAGACAGGGAGCTAACACCCAGTAGAGGGGGAGCCAATACCCAGTAGAGAGGAAGCCAATGCCCAGTAGAGAGGAAGCCAATATCCAGTAGACAGGGGGCCAATACTCAGTAGACAGGGGGCCAATACCCAGTAGAGAGGGAGCCAATATCCAATAGAGAAACAGTCAATACCCAGTAGAGAGGAATTAATACCCAGTAGAGAGGAAGCCAAACCCACTAGAGAGGGAGCCAATATCTAATAGACAGGGAGCCAATACCCAGTAGAGAGGGAGCTAATACCCAAAAGAGAAGGAGTCAATACCTAGTAGACAGGTAGCCAATACCCAGTAGAGAGGGAGCCAATACCCAGTAGAGAGGAAGCCAATGCCCAGTAGAGAGGAAGCCAATATCCAGTAGACAGGGAGCCAATACCCAGTAGAGAGGGAGCTAATACCCAAAAGAGAAGGAGTCAATACCCAGTAGAGAGGGAGCTAATACCCAGTAGAGTGGGAGCCTATACCCAGTAGACAGGTGGCCAATAACCAGTAGAGAGGGAGCCATTACCAGTAGAGAGGGAGCCAATATCCACTAGACAGGGAGCCAATATCCAGTAGACAGGGAGCCAATACCCAGTACAGAGGGAGCAAATACCCAGTAGACAGGGGGCCAATACCCAGTAGAGAGGGAGCCATTACCATCTAGATAGGGAGCTTATATCCTGTAGACAGGGAGCCAATACCCAGTAGAGAGGAAGCAAATACCCAGTAGAGAGGAAGCCAATGCCCAGTAGAGAGGGAGCCAATATCCAGGAGACAGGGAGCTAATACCAAGTAGAGAGGGAGCCAATACCCAATAGAGAAGGAGTCAATACCCAGTAGAGAGGGAGCTAATACCCAGTAGAGAGGGAGCCAATACCCAGAAGACAGGGGGCCAATACCCAGTAGAGAGGGAGCCAATACCATCTAGATAGGGAGCCAATATCCAGTAGACAGGGAGGCAATACCCAGTAGAGAGGGAGCCAATACCAAGTACAGAGGAGGCCAATGCCCAGTAGAGAGGGAACCAATATCCAGGAGACAGGGAGCCAATACCCAGTAGAGAGGGAGCTAATATCAAATAGAGAAGGAGCCAGTACCCAGTAGAGAGGGAGCTAATACCCAGTAAAGAGGGAGCCAATACCCAGTATAGAGAGGGAGGGAATATCCAGTAGACAGGGAGCCAATACCGAGTAGAGAGGGAGCCAATACCCAGTAGAGAGGGAGCCAATATCCAGTAGACAGGGACCAATACCCAGTAGACAGGGAGCTAATACCCAAAAGAGGGGGAGCCAATATCAAGTAGACAGGTAGCCAATACCCAGTAGAGAGGGAGCCAATACCCAGTAGAGAGGAAGCCAATGCCCAGTAGAGAGGAAGGCAATATCCAGTAGACAGGGAGCCAATACCCAGTAGAGAGGGAGCTAATACCCAGTAGAGTGGGAGCCTATACCCAGTAGACAGGTGGCCAATAACCAGTAGAGAGGGAGCCAATACCCAGTAGAGAGGGAGCCAATATCCAGTAGACAGGGAGCCAATATCCAGTAGACAGGGAGCCAATACCCAGTAGAGAGGGAGCAAATACCCAGTAGACAGGGGGCCAATACCCAGTAGAGAGGGAGCCATTACCATCTAGATAGGGAGCTTATATCCTGTAGAGAGGGAGCCAATACCCAGTAGAGAGGAAGCCAATACCCAGTAGAGAGGAAGCCAATGCCCAGTAGAGAGGGAGCCATTATCCAGGAGACAGGGAGCTAATACCAAGTAGAGAGGGAGCCAATACCCAATAGAGAAGGAGTCAATACCAAGTAGAGAGGGAGCTAATACCCAGTAGATGGGGAGGCATTATCCAGGAGACAGGGAGCCAATACCCAGTAGAGAGGGAGCTAATATTAAATAGACAAGGAGCCAGTACCCAGTAGAGAGGGAGCTAATACCAAGTAAAGAGGGAGCCAATACCCAGTAGAGAGGGAGGCAATATCCAGTAGACAAGGAGCCAATACCGAGTAGAGAGGGAGCTAATACCCAGTAGAGAGGGAGCCAATACCCAGTAGCCAGGGGGCCAATACTCAGTAGACAGGGGGCCAATACCCAGTAGAGAGGGAGCCAATATCCAATAGAGAAACAGTCAATACCCAGTAGAGAGGAATTAATACCCAGTAGAGAGGAAGCCAAACCCACTAGAGAGGGAGCCAATATCTAATAGACAGGGAGCCAATACCCAGTAGACAGGGAGCCAATACCCAGTAGAGAGGGAGCTAATACCCAGTAGAGAGAGATACCTTGAAGAGAGGGAGCTTATACCCAGTAGACATGGAGCCAATACCCAGTAGAGAGGGAGCTAATACCGAATAGAAAAGGAGTCAATACACAGTAGAGAGGGATCTAATACCCAGTAGAGAGGGAGCCAATACCCAGTAGGCAGGGGGCCAATACCCAGTAGAGAGGGAGCCAATACCATCTAGATAGGGAGCCAATATCCAGTAGACAGGGAGCCAATACCCAGTAGAGAGGAAACTAATACCCAGTAGAGAGGAAGCCAATGCCCAGTAGAGAGGAAGGCAATATCCAGTAGACAGGGAGCCAATACCCAGTAGAGAGGGAGCTAATATCAAATAGAGAAGGAGCCAGTACCCAGTAGAGAGGGAGCTAATACCCATATAAGAGGAAGCAAATACCCAGTCAGACTGGGAGCCAATACCCAGTAGAGAGGGAGCTAATACCCAATAGAAAAGGAGTCAATACACAGTAGAGAGGGATCTAATACCCAGTAGAGAGGGAGCCAATACCCAGTAGGCAGGGAGCCAATACCCAGTAGAGAGGGAGCCAATACCATCTAGATAGAAGCCAATATCCAGTAGAGAGGGAGCCAATACCCAGTAGACAGGGGGCCAATACTCAGTAGACAGGGGGCCAATACCCAGTAGAGTGGGAACCAATATCCAATAGAGAAACAGTCAATACCCAGTAGAGAGGAAGCCAAACCCACTAGAGAGGGAGCCAATATCTAATAGACAGGGAGCCAATACCCAGTAGACAGGGAGCCAATACCCAGTAGAGAGAGATACCTAGAAGAGAGGGAGCTAATACCCAGTCAGACAGGAAGCCAATACCCAGAGAGGGAGCTAATACCGAATAGAAAAGGAGTCAATACACAGTAGAGAGGGATCTAATACCCAGTAGAGAGGGAGCCAATACCCAGTAGAGAGGGAGCTAATATCAAATAGAGAAGGAGCCAGTACCCAGTAGAGAGGGAGCTAATACCCAGTAAAGAGGGAGCCAATACCCAGTATAGAGAGGAAGGGAATATCCAGTAGACAGGGAGCCAATACCGAGTAGAGAGGGAGCCAATATCTAGTAGAGAGGGAGCCAATATCCAGTAGACAGGGACCAATACACAGTAGACAGAGAGGCAATATCCAATAGAGAAACAGTCAATACCCAGTAGAGAGGGAATTTATACCCAGTAGAGCGGAAGCCAATATCCAGTAGAGAGGGAGCCAATATCTAGTAGACAGGGAGCCAATACCCAGTAGGGAAGGGAGCTAATACCCAGTAGAGAGGGAGATACCCAGTAGAGAGGGAGCTAAAACCCAGTGGACAGGGAGCCAATACCCAGTAGAGAGGGAGCTAATACCCAATAGAGATGGAGTCAATACCTAGTAGACAGGGATCTAATACCCAGTAGAGGGGGAGCTAATACCAAGTAAAGAGGGAGCCAATACCCAGTAGAGAGGGAG